GGATGATCTTCTTCCAGACTTTCAACATCAATGTCTGCCCTTGTCAAAAGGAGTCTTCTAAGATATGGGAATGAATCATAGTATCCCTCCTGTGTGGAAACAGGCCATTCAGCCCAATAAGTCTACACTGCCCCTCTGAAGAGCATCCCACCCAGACCTAGCCCTCTCCCTCTGCATTTCCTCATGTCTAACCCACCTAACCTAAACATCCCTGGATACTAGCATGGCCAATCCACATAATCTGCACATCTTTGGACTGTGGGAGGAAACCGGAGCATCTGGCAGAAACCCACACAAACACAGGGAAAATGTGTAAACTCCACACAGACAGTCACCCAAGGGTAGAATTGAACCCGGGTCCCTGGCACTGTGAGGCAGCAGTGCTGACCACTGAGCCACCATGCCGCCCTAATGGATCCACATCACCCAGTGGCTCACTGTGAGTTTTGATAGACAGGGAGCTGTGTTGCACAATGGCAACAAGCTGGCAGAGGACCTTTGTTTTCTGGCTGTGCTTAGTCTGATGTTCATTCTTTCATCCACATCTGTGAATGCATAAACAATGGTTTAGGGCTCTTCCTCAGTGTGCAGACTTGCAAGTGTACTGCATGACTGCATCTGAAAACTGTAGCAAGATGATAGAGGTTGGGTGGTTTTTGCACAGGTTGAATAATTTACTCATCTTGTAGAGAAGTTCCACTCAAGTGGGAAGCTCCATGGAGATAGAGTGGAATGTTGTGACAAGGAACTGTGTTAGTGCCTTGCTTGGTCCCAGTTTGTGTAGAAGCATACCAACGGATCTCCAAAGTACCAAATTTGTGGCCATCTTCCAGGAAAGAAATAAGATCAATTGTGGTAATCTCTCTAATGTCCACTACCAGAAAAGTCATTATAAGAAACCCCCTCAATCACCTCATCCTAGTGGCTGAAGAGCTCCTACTATAGTGACATTGCAGATTCTATCAATTAAAGTGGGATGTACTTTTCACATTCAGATGGGTCCAAGATAAAGATCTGCACCCTCTCTACATAACCTTCTTCAACCTTGCAAAGTCTTTTGACTCTAACAACTGGCAGGCGTTATGGATTACCATCCTCAAATTTGGTTGTCCAGTGAAACGTATCATGACAACATGCAGCCAAAATCCTCACCATTGGATCCACCGCAGACCCAAATGCAAGTTCAATCAGGAGAATGTGAGGAAAATAGCTGAACTTCATCAAAACAATCATACTTCACGATAATGGATTCTGTCATTACAAATCTTCTCATCCAATAGTCCTTTAGTCATGTTAAATCTATATGACACTCAGTAGCAAGCCATAACTTTTGATAAGAAGCCTTACATTTAGTAACTCTTTATAATTGCTTAATAATTAACTTTGACTACATATAGTACAATACAAACTTCTCCAAATGATGAATTTTCTTGTCACAACATTGCTGCACTCTTTCAATCTTAGTTTCAAGAGTGTACATTTCTATAATGGCATATTTTATAAGATTTTTGGAATGAATCTTATCAAATTAATTTACACTTTCTCTTCACTTTGAGATAAATCACATAGTTACAATATAATTAACAAATATTAGAAATGTGTCGTAAGAATAGATTGCATGGTTTGTGAGGCTATCACAAGTATTAGCCAGAACACTAGCAATTTCTGACAAAAACAATGCTGTGGATTTTGGAAGATGAATATTTGGTGCACTCTGAAAATCATATTTCCTCCTTTCAAAATATTTTGGTTTGTTTTATTTTGGACGAATATCTATTTCTTCTTACGTAACCAAACAGGTGACCAAACAGGTGGATGCGGGTAAAGCAGTTGATGTGGTGTATGTGGATTTCAGTAAAGCATTTGATAAGGTTCCCCACGGTAGGCTATTGCAGAAAATACGGAGGCATGGGATTGAGGGTAATTTAACGGTCTGGATCAGAAATTGGCTAGCTGTAAGAAGACAGAGGGTGGTGGTTGATGGGAAATGTTCATCCTGGAGTTCAGTTACTAGTGGTGTACCGCAAGGATCTGTTTTGGGGCCACTGCTGTTTGTCATTTTTATAAATGACCTGGATGAGGGCATAGAAGGATGGGTTAGTAAATTTGCGGATGACATTAAAGTCGGTGGAGTTGTGGATAGTGCGGAAGGATGTTGCAGGTTACAGAGGGACATAGACAAGCTGCAGAGCTGGGCTGAGAGGTGGCAAATGGAGTTTAATGCGGAAAAGTGTGAGGTGATTCACTTTGGAAGGAGTAACATGAATACAGAGCACTGGGCTAATGGTAAGATTCTTGGTAGTGTGGATGAGCAGAGAGATCTCGGTGTCCATGTGCATAGATCCCTGAAAGTTGCCGCCCAGGTTGATAGGGTTGTTAAGAAGGCATACGGTGTGTTAGGTTTTTTTGGTAGAGGGATTGAGTTTCGGAGCCATGAGGTCATGTTGCAGCTGTACAAAACTCTGGTGTGGCCGCACTTGGAGTATTGCGTACAGTTCTGGTCGCTGCATTATAGGAAGGATGTGAAAGCATTGGAAAGGGTGCAGAGGAGATTTACTAGGATGTTGCCTGGTATGGAGGGAAGGTCTTATGAGGAAAGTCTGAGGCTGTTTTCGTTAGAGAGAAGAAAGTTAAGAGGTGACTTAATAGAGACATACAAGATGATCAGAGGATTAGATAGGGTGGACAGTGAGAGCCTTTTTCCTCGGATGGTGATGGCTAGCACGAGGGGACATAGCTTTAAATTGAGGGGTGATAGATATAGGACAGATGTCAGAGGTAGGTTCTTTACTCAGAGAGTAGTAAAGGCGTGGAATGCCCTACCTGCAACAGTAGTAGACTCGCCAACTTTAAGGGCATTTAAATGGTCATTGGATAAACATATGAATGATAATGGAATAGTGTAGGTTAGATGGGTTTCAGATTGGTTTTACAGGTCGGCGCAAAATCGAGGGCCGAAGGGCCTGTACTGCGCTGTAATGTTCTATGTTCTATGAACCTTTCAGTCAAACCAAACTCCATGTTCTGCAATGTGACCAATATGTTTGCTACTTGATCACAAGTCTGACAGTTTTCTACTGTCAACAGGTTAAAGTACAAAACCAGGGTTTCAGTCACGATGATGCAGGGGACATTCAAATCGATGATTTCTATTTCAAAATGTGCTTGCTGCAAAGGATTTTTTAGTAGCAGTGTGCAAAAAGGTTCTATGGATCTTCCTCTTATAAGCAACAATAGTGTGTGTTACATTTTACAATGGTCATAGGTAGAAATGTAGTGTCTTCAATAATTTTCTGTTAAAAAGACAAAGAAAGCATAATTGATTTTCAGATATCATTTTAAAAAAATTATTAGAGAGAATGAAGTTGAAGGCTACCACACTGTCATATTACCTCCTTCACTCCCCATTCCTTCAATCCCCTGAAACTACCTCCTTCCACACCTTTGTTCCCACCATTCTCCCTACAACCTTTCCAGCAGCAATGTTATCTCCTCCTTCCCGCCTACCCATAGCAGTTCTTCTCCCTTCTCCAAAGTCTTTCCCCCACCAACCATAAACTTTATATAGCCATCCACCTGCCTATTGCCATGAGAATGGCAGAGAATTACGTTGAGAAATGGCAGTTTTTGATGTCTGCAATTGAGGTTTTACATCAGGCTACACCATCCAAATAAAAGAACAGATCAATCGAAAATGTGGTAAAACTTCAATTGTCTGTTCTTAGAGTAGCGTTATGAGATCATCATGTCTGATCTATTAGGTATGTTACATACTGAACAGGATTCATATCAACTTAGATCCGAACAAATTACTTCATTGTACCAAGTAAAAAAGATTGTAAAATAAATTTGTCAGTTTGTGAAGTTCAGATGGTTCAACCCAGCATCAATGCACCAGCAACAAAGAGTCACATATAAACATATAAACAACTGCGTTGCCAAGGATGGAAGGTTGTTTTGTTAAATCTACAGATTTGACAGTATAGATTTTAGTCCAATGGCCATCATCTTGTAATGCTAAGGTTACTGAATTTGAAACAAAAGTTATTGTAGTCCTGGTTGTTCATTATCCTTCATGAAATCCTGTGTTTGTATTTGCTGTAATGCATATTGAACTTGTAATATCATTGTGAGAACTACTTTCATGTTAAGGTTCATTGTCAGTCCTTACAGCTGTTGTCTCATTGCCAGTTCCTTGATTATGCACAATCGCTGCATTGCTAACTAATATGGAAGTTTCTATGCTCAATCTACCTGATTTCTTTGCTATCAGGTGGGATCTTCTCTTATGAAGTTCCAGAATTCACTCAGCAACAGTGAAGTAATGGTGATACAGTTCCAGGTCAGGATGATGTTTTGTTTGGAGGGAAACTTGCACATAGTGACATTCCCATACACCTGTTTCTCTTGTCCTTCTAGTTGGTAAAGAAAGATGTCTTAGACACTACTCTAGACAGCTGTATTTAGTAACTGGCATTTTTTTATTCATTAACGGGATGAAGGCGTCGCTGGTGAAGCAGAATTTATTGCCCATCCCTAATTGCCCAGAGGGCAGTTTGGATTCAACCACAATTCTGTGGATCTGGAGTCACATGTAGACTAAACCAAGTAAGGATGGCAGTTTCCTTTCCTAAAAGATATTAGTGAACCAGGTGTGTTTATCCAACAATCGTCAATGGATTCATTGTCATCGTTAGATTCTTAATTCCAGATATTTTCTTGAATTCAAATTCTACCATCTGCCATGGTGGGATTTGAACCCAGGTCCCCAGAATGTTATCTGGGTCTCTGGATTAATAGACCAGCAATAATACCACTGGGCCATTGCTTCCCCTGGAGGTATGTACAGGTGTAAACAAAGGAATATTACAGCACATCAAGAATGGAAGAGCTTCACTTGGCAATAAAGAGTAAACAGCTACAGGGATAGGTTATGACAGGACACCCACAGCCCAGAGATACTCCAGACCAGTATCGAAATGTGCAGGTAGCAGGTTGGATTAAGGTGTAAGATTAAACATGATGACAGCTGCTGGTAAAATCCCAGAGCCAGGATCTGAAAATAAAACAGAATCCAAGGGACACTATTAAAAACAGTGGACCCTGAAGACAGGGCATGTCCTCAGGAGACTTCAAGAAAGGAATTGGGAAAGAAGGCCCTGGAAACAGGAAAAGAACTTTTGAACAAGTTTAATACAGCACAACAGAATGCAAAGAATCCAAAGGAAGGGAATAAGAACATTAGAAAACTTCACAACCAAGTCATGAAAGAGCAGTACTCTGGCAAATAAAAATACAGAATATGTGTTATCAGTAAGCAGGGAAACCCCAGGTGCTCACCCAGTTCAGTCAGGCACAATAGTCAGTAGGAATAGCAGCCCTGGTAAACATATTGCTTTTCCCTCAGCTATTTAGTAATATGTAAGGCCTACAACAATTCAAAAGTGGGACCTCTGGATGTGGCAGTTTCACCTTTATACAATGGCTTCAGGTTTTTAAAAGGAGCAGCACTATAAAGGCCATTCTCATTTATTTTTCTGTATTTTTAATTGTGTACTGAAATGAGAAAGTAACTTTTAAAACTAATGATTGCTGTAGAATTATTGCATGTTTTGAAAGCAAGTAACCTGACATTTACTGTTTAAAGTGATGTGCAAACTTTATTACACAGTGAGTACTTCAGGTCTGAAATGCAATGTGTGGAAATGTAATGGAGGATGGTTTATGAGGTACTTAAGAGAGATGGGATGGTTATTTGGTTAGAAATAGTGTGTAGGGAAATGGAGAAAAGGTGGGAGATTGGTGTTAGGCAATAGAATAGTTGCAGGCAAAATGGCTGAAATGCCTTCCTTCTGCCTGTAACAATTCTGTGATTCGGCTTACACAACTGTTCGAGTGGTAGAGATAGTAGGATCTGCAGATGCTGGAGAATCTGAGATACCAAGGTGTAGAGCTGGATGAACACAGCAGGCCAAGTAGCATCAGAGGAGCAGGAAGGCTGACGTTTCCGGCCTAGACCCTTCTTCAGAAAATGGTAGTCAAGGTGTAGTTTTGCAGGCAAAATGGAGCTGAGAGATTGTACACAGGTGGAGCTTTGGTTGGTACAGTAACTCTTTGGTGATCAGTTATTAATGACAAAGACCTTCTACCTGCCAACAACTTGTTTTGATCTCCGATATCGGAATAACTTAGAGCTGTGAACAAGACAGTGGCGAAGCCCTCAGACCTCCACCAGTTCAGGAGCTCTCTCCCTTCTCTCCAGCAAAAACTCACTTTAAGCCTGAAGAAAATCAGTTTATCTTTCCTTCTGAAGCTGTTATGCCTTTAACAAACCAGCAAAAGCACCCTGAGAAGGAAGACTGAGGAACAACCTTCTGGCCAGTACAAGAATCATAAGAGTCACCTTCATAACACTTGTGAACAGAGTCCACTGAACTATTTTCCCAGTTTTTTCCTCCCCCTGTAAAACCCATGACTTTTATTTTTCCTGTCTGTGATTCTATGTACGTATAATGGACGTTTCTAACGGGATTAGAGTTTAAATTTGTAGAGTTACATTCTTGACAGTTCCTAAGCATGATTGCTTGTAATAACTAAATCTTAAGTACAAAAATTTATTCTGTGTCTTTCTGTCAACCTGGGTCTGAAAGTTCCTTTTTAAAATCTTTAACTTTTGTGACAACTCTGGGAATATTGAGATTTGATTTCAAATGCACTGCCCCAATGAGTCAAGACCCTACCATTAGGTCAGCATATTTTATCTGCTGTAGGTTCAATGGCTAAAGATGCTCTGGCAAGACAAATCATTGATGAAAGTATTGTGAAGTATGATGCATTGAGTAAAGCATTTAACATATGATTTAGCCACAAATCAAATGTATTGATAGAACAGATGAAATTTAATCAGTGATCTCAAATGTTTAGGATACTCAACAAAAGGCTTTTTAACAGGATGTTTTTTTTTTCCTTTATTCATTCACAGGATGAGGGCGTTGCTGGCTAGGCAGCATTTACTGCCCATCTGTAATTGCCCAGAGGGCAGTTAAGAGTCAACCACATTGCTGTGGGTCTGGAGTCACATGTAGGCCAGACCAGGTAAGGATGGCAGTTTCCTTCCTGAAAGGACATTAAGGAACCAGATGAATTTTTCCCAACAATCAACAATGGATTCACAGTCATCAGTAGATTTGTAATTTTAGGTATTTATTGAATTCAAATTCCACCATCTGCCATGGCGGGATTTGAACTCTGGTCCCCAGAACATTATCTGGGTCTCTAGATTAACAGTCCAGCGATAATACCACTAGGCCATTGCCTCCCCATATGGAATATGGAAGCCTTGGAAGCCTACAACCCATTGGTCTCAATGTGGACTTTACTAGCTTCAAAATCTCCCCACCCCCGGCCTCAGCCCAAGACTACCCCTCCCTCTCATTCCCGCCTCCTTGATCTGTCCGTCTTTTCTCCCACCTATCCGCTCCTCCCACCTCACTGATCAATCCCCACCACTACATACCTGCTATCATCATCCCACCTACCTTTCCCAGCCCAACCCACCCCCATATTTATTTCAGGGCCTCTTTCCCCTCCCTCATTTCTGAAGAAGGGTCCCGACCCGAAACGTCAGCTTTCCTGTTCCTCTGATGCTGCCTGGCCTACTGTGTTCCTCCAGTTCCACACTGTTATCTCAGACTCCAGCATCAGCAGTTCTTACTATCTCTGAATACCTGTATTTTGTACTCTGCTTGAAATATTCTTGTTGTATCATGATCGCCTGATCATTCCATCATTTTTGCTTGTGAAACTTTCAAATGCTCTTGCGCTACTTTACATATTTCTGTGAGTCCTTCTGGAAAAAACTATAATCCAACATTGAGGTTTCGGCTTTTTGTCTTATGTATCTTTCCTTCATCAACTTTAATGAATGTCTAATCTGATGACCATAGATCAATTCAAATGGACTAAACCAACTAGAATCATTTGTGGAATCTCTAGTAGCAAATAGAAAATCTAATCCTTTGTCCTAATCTTGTGGCTATTTGTGATAATTTGGCTAAAGCATGGTTTTGAGAGTCTGGTCCTATATCTACAAAACTTGCTTTGTTTACTGATGATATGCAGTTGACTTCAATTGGTTTAAATGCAAAATACTGACATTATCCTGGAAAGCTTTAGACATAAAATTATAACCTTGATCAGATTGATTTTAATTAGTAAGCAACAACAATTTAAAAAACTTTTCCAGTACTATCACAGTTTTAATTGTTTTTAAAGGAATAACCTGAAATTGGGTTGACATATCCATAATTGTGAGCGTATATTTTGGTAATGGTGACTCAGCTGAAGAGTTCTTCAAAAACACTAATTTAGTTTGAAAAGTCACTGGTTTAATTATATTTTAAGGTTTCCCTTGTACAATGACCTTATGAAGCCTTGAGTGTGTAAAGTACCATTTATCGATAATTGGGTTTGTTGTATTCCTATATGTCCTGCCATTGGAATTTTGCATGCCATTTTCAATATCCCCTGTTGCTATCTGGCTAGTATCACAATTTGATGACAACCATCCATATAACGTTATAAGGGGCACAGACAGCTGGATAGAAAACAACCATTACCCATAGAACATAGAACATAGAACATAGAACATTACAGCGCAGTACAGGCCCTTCGGCCCTCGATGTTGCGCCGACCTGTGAAACCAATCTGAAGCCCATCTAACCTAAACTATTCCATTATCATCCATATGTTTATCCAATGACCATTTAAATGCCCTTAAAGTCGGCGAGTCTACTATTTTTGCAGGCAGGGCATTCCACGCCTTTACTACTCTCTGAGTAAAGAACCTACCTCTGACATCTGTCCTATATCTATCACCCCTCAATTTAAAGCTATGTCCCCTCGTGCTAGCCATCACCATCCGAGGAAAAAGGCTCCCACTGTCCACCCTATCTAATCCTCTGATCATCTTGTATGTCTCTATCAAGTCACCTCTTAACCTTCTTCTCTCTAACGAAAACAGCCTCAAAACCCTCAGCCTTTCCTCATAAGACCTTCCCTCCATACCAGGCAACATCCTGGTAAATCTCCTCTGCACCCTTTCCAATGCTTCCACATCCTTCCTATAATGCGGTGACCAGAACTGTACGCAATACTCCAAGTGCGGCCGCACCAGAGTTTTGTACAGCTGCAACATGACCTCATGGCTCCGAAACTCAATCCCTCTACCAATAAAACCTAACATACCGTACACCTTCTTAACAACGTTATCAACCTGGGTGGCAACTCTCAGTGATCTATGCACATGGACACCGAGATCTTTCTGCTCATCCACACTACCAAGAATCTTACCGTTAGCCCAGTACTCTGTATTCCTGTTACTCCTTCCAAAGTGAATCACCTCACACTTTTCCGCATTAAACTCCATTTGCCACCTCTCAGCCCAGCTCTGCAGCTTATCTATGTCCCTCTGTAACTTGCAACATCCTTCCGCACTATCCACAACTCCACCGACTTTGGTGTCATCCGCATCCCATAGTCAAAGGATCAATAACAAGGAGACACACTTTCAATATAAAAGGCAAGCCATTCAGAGGGTATTTGAGGTAAACATTTTTCACCAAGAGAGTGGTGGGAATCTGGAATGCACTGCCTAAGAAGGTCATTGAGACTGAAGACCTCACAACCATTAAAAAGTGCTTAGATAAACACTTGATATGTCATAACATTCAAGGCTATGGGCCAAGTGCTGGGAAGTGGGACTAGTGAAGATTTAGTTTAGCCTTGGCAGTACAGACTTCATGGGCTGAAGGGCCTTTTTCTGTACCGTGTAGTTCTATGAATCTTTGATTAATATTCTGACTATAAACTCATAGGGCGGCACCAGATTATGTGTGCAAGGGCAGATTCATCATTCATGATACAACCAAGCTCATTTCCTTCGAGGAAGACAGTAGGGAAAGTTCAGTGCTGGCCATGTCATTGGATGGCTGAGTAAATGTCATTGGCTGAATAGTGTGCAAGGCTATCAGGTGATCTTCAGCTCTAAAAGTACCC